CCTCCTTTCCCCTAACCCCGCGTGGGAGAGGACTTTGGTGCGAAAAGTCACTGTCATGGCAGAGGGACCACTGCCCTCCTGGCTGTCCCATCTCTGCAGATACAACCCCACGCAGCAACACCAGTGCAGGCAATTCCCCCCACTCTTTCTTGCCAGGCACGGGCTGGCGAGCCAAGGGCCTCTCCTTCGCTCCAACCTCCTCCTTAAAATTGCCTCCTTGGGGCTGCCCTCGCTCAGCCCCTCACCACTGCCTTGCCCAGCTCTCTCTCGTAACGGGGTAGGGCTGGCCGGCGTCCGGCTTTCTGGCTCAAACAAGACAGAAGAGCTAAATAGCTCCATTTCCTCACCCCTGTAATTTAGGAAAAGGGAAGCTGCACTCCATGACCACTCTTCAGCCTTTGATGTATTTGGATGTGCCCTGTAGCCTTGCAGGTTTTTTTTCCCCACACCATTATAGGATAATACTAAGTGTGTTAATATAACAGCTGGCAAAGATGTTGGAAAGGCTTGTTTGTCCCTCTGCAAAGGGAAATCCTCCCCCTCCCTGCCAGATGCACTTATCACTCCAGAGATTCATTCTTCTTCGAGCTAGCCAGAAGTGCAGTTGCCTTTCTGGCGTTGCTCTTTTCTTTGTTTATTTGCTATTTCTGACATTCTGCTGAAAAGGGAGTAGGGAAATTGGCAAAACCTACGGAAAGGAGTTTCCTCATGTGATAGTAAGACAAGATAAGGCAGGACAAGAGAGGGATTTAATTTGCCTGGTTTGGTATTTTTAACAGATGTTGACCATAAAAGAAGGGGTGTTATTCATTTGCATGTATCAGTGCCTTTTGATGATGGGTGAAGGGGAGAATTTTGGCATTGATGTGCCCTCTAGTCAGATTTAACATGCATATGGGTAAAGCTCACCAAACTTCCATAGAAGAAAGCTTTAAAAGAAATTCTCAAATTACCCCTAAATAAATGGGTATCATATACTTGTTTATGTTGTTTCCCAAAGCCTCATCTTTCCATCTTGCTTTTTAGTAAACGGCTTTGAATGTTTTCCCTGTTTTATCTTTAAAGTGAAGCCCCTCACCTTTACCGGGATGAGAAGCACTGTCAACGGGAACGCTTGGCCGTGGTCCTGCTCCATGCAGTGGCATTCAAGCAGAGGGTTAAAGCAGCCCAGAGACTGGTTTGTCCCTTAGAAGTTTTGATATAACTAATTATTTAAGAACATTTACGTGACCTCTTTGATATGCCACAGGCATAGAAATGTTAGGAATATCTGTCTGAAGTCCATCTAGCTCAGCAGGCTCACACACATCTCCGATACACACGGAGTTTGTACTCCAAGGGTGCTTTGCATAATGCCAGCTTGGACGTGGCAAACCCAGCCATCTCCTGTTTTACTGTCGGAAAGGAGGAGCCTCCGTAAGATGCACATTTTAGGAAGACATGGTAAGTCTCGTCATGCAAAATTTTTACGGTGATTGCAAAATGCAGAACCCAGGACACATTTCAAAATGCTCGGGAGACCTGAGGCAGCTTGCGCCGTGCCGGGAGCCCTGGTAGGAACCGCAGAGCAGAAATCGTCTGCAGCTGTCCCCCCTTCCTAGGAACGGCCCCACATGGCCAACTGCATCTTCATCAGGGATGAAGTCGTGAACTGGCCTCTTTTGGGGCATATTTTTAGCCTGCCCTTCCTCTTGCAGCTTCAAAATCCAAAATTCCAGGGAAATCTCAACACATGCTGGTCGGAGTTAACAGAAGGCTCTGCAGGCATGGGAGGTGAGGGAGGCGTGCCGCCAGCCCCGCTGTCCCAGCCCGAGGGAGCTGTGAGTTGAACAGTCTGAGGTGCTTGGGGCTGAGCTCTCCTTCATGCTCTACAACTAAAAATCCTCTTTTTTCTTTGTGTGGATTTTAATTATTTTGAATGAAAACCCCTCTCTTTTTTTCGTGTGGCTGCTAGAAAGACACAGTTCCAACAAGCAGTTTCACGGTCATGGGTTTGGATTTGTTCAGTGGCTGCAAAAGAATTTGAAGGGAAAGGAAGGACAAGCGCCAACCAGACTAGGAGATACTTCCATATTTTTACAACATGTTTGGAAGGATGAGGCATCTCCATGCGTCACAGCTGAAGGGTAAGTTGCTGAGCTGCAGAATGTTCCCTCTTGTACTAACAGAAAGCTCCTGGCACGTTGTAGTCTCCTGACGTGCATTTCGAGGGGGATGTTATTGCCTGTAAAGGTGCTGGACTCAGTGCTGCTGGCTTCCCCTTGCCCCACTGCTCCTGCGCAGTCATAGACGCTGCAAACGCTGCAGCTGCTTAAAGCTCCCCCAAGCCTTTTGTGTTCCTTATTTTTCTCCCTGAGATCATCTTTAATCCCGATGGGTGTTGGAATCCAGCTGGCAGTGCAGCCCTACAGTGGTAATTAAGAGGCAGAAAGGATTAATGACTGCAGGAAGAGGTGGCAGAAGCAACCCTGGGCACAGAGAAATGCCTCTAGTGATGACTCAGTGGGAGGTGCGAGGAGTTTGGACTGTGCCAGGTCCAGCCGCCCCGTGATGCAGGGCCACATTCGCACGGTGGAACTTGGAGAGCAGAGTACACGCCGGGGAGTGGGAGACAGGGACGTTTCGTTAGCTCCTGCTCAGCGAGTACACCCTGAGGTGAGCCTGGGACTGCAGCGCTTGTCTTTGCTTAGGAGGAAATTCGGCCGTCTCAGCCGGTTTTGCAATACACTTATTCCAGTGCCATTGCAAGCGGATGATGACAGCGGTGACGCTTTTCTCCCACCTCCCCACCCCGCCTGCCCCTCCAGCCCCTCTCCTGCTGCAGAGACCGGGGATGCGATGCCGTGCAGCCAGCTGGGCTCACCAAGCCGCTGGCACGCAGGGCTCGCTCTGCAGAGCGGAGTTTTCTGTCCCATCAGCGGCGTGATCTGAGTCGCCACGCGGTTGCGTCGCCGTTAGGTCGGATGCCAACAGCAGGAAGGTGGCAGAGGCCGGGGTGGCGAGGGAAATCCTGTCTGCCGGCCAGAGCTGGCTACGGCAGCCCCGACACGGGGATGCTGGCGGCCACCATGGTCCAGAGGATGCTGAGGCTGTCCACTGGTGACAGTCCCATCATCGAAGGGCGTTTGGTGCTGGGAGGAGGGTATGTGTGTCTGCTCCTTGCAACACCGAGAATGGAAAATATGTTGGGTTCTGATGGCAACAAACAGGGACAAGAAAAACGTCGTGCCCTTCGGGAGGTAAAGACAGCTTGAAAAATGATGCTTATGGGGGAGGGAGGAGGAGGGGAGAGACATCTGTGCTTGTTTATTCATTCATGTTTCTACTAGCCTTTATTATATTTAGCCTACGCTGGATGACACTAGAAGTATTTTGCATCTAGTGATGATCTGGGGGGTGGGAGTGCTCTATGGCAGCCCTTGGAGCTTCTCCCGGCACAGATTTCCTTACCCATATTTAATGCCCCTGATGCAGGTTATGCTGCACTCTCATCGGATCTTTGTTCGGTTGTTTGGCTCTGTGTTTTCTTGTGCTGGCAGGCTGTAATCAGACAGGAGCAGAGGGAAATCAAACGTCGTTAAGCACCGCAAGACCTCTGCCCTTTTTGTGCTGATACAGGAAAAGTCCTTCGTTTCTTTGACAGCTAAATGGGAGAAAGCTAAACACAATGTTCCTTGTATTTCTAAACAGTCACTGGAATGAAAAAGAATCAATTCTGAGATGAAAGAATTAAACTTAGAGCTGCTGCCTGAAAAATGGTGGCATCTACATTTGATATTTGGAGAAATACCAGGCTGGGACATTGTAACAGCCTCTTTGGGTGCCTTTATCCTGTACAGGGAGGCAGGAAACCAGAACCAGCTTATTGCTGCTTAGAAAGTCTATCAAGAACATCAGGCATACAATGTAATTTCTGTAAACTGTTTTAATCTGGTCTTGTTTTCTGTAATAGTGACATTTAATGATCACTTTGTCTGAACCCGCTCTCTTTCCCCGGTCCGAAGGGAAAATGCTTCGAATGAAGGGAGTGGAAGGAAACAAAACGGGCAGTCTCGGCAGCTCCCAGCCGTGCCAGCTTTGTGCTCTTGGACAGGAGTTAGTTGAGTGGGTCTTTCCTGACGTGAAAACATCATTTTCCTTTTGCTATATCTGGGTGAATTCTGCAGGGTTTTACCCACACAGAACTCTCTCTGGTGTTTACGATGAGAGTTTATTTGGTCGAGGATTGATCAGAAGCCCTAACTGTACAGCTCCCAGCCTTCCCCATATGAGGGCTGGCTCTGAAACCCTCTCGGTGTCCGACAGTCATTCTGCAGGACCCACACCCAGATAAAGCATCACCGTGCAGGACAGATCTGCACCTTTTATATGTTGTCCCATCCTGTCGTACCGTTGCAGTAGGTTTTTCACTCGGTGGCTTTACCCGATGCTGTCTCAGCGCCATGGCCGTGTCATGCTGTCTGCCCAGCACCTTTCAGAGACCGTGCATGCCGGGATACTTCCCATGAAACTGCCCGTCCTGGTACTCGAGTGGTGCAGAGCAGCCCAAGCAGGGCTGTGGTTTCTCCTGCAGCATCAGGAAGAGTGCCTTGGCCGTCGTTAGGAGTGGTGTTAAACCAGATGCCCCAGGGGGAGTGGATTGCTGGGCTGTTGAGATTTGTCCCCCCATTCAGCTCCCAGCTCCCCTCTCTTATCTCTCACATCTTCGCTCTATGCTGGCTCTCCCACATCCTCATAACTCATTCCTGGAAAAGGGCGGGTGGGAACGGAAATACTCCATGAGACCTCTCTCCACTGATTTACATTTCCGCAGTGCAAATGGTAATGGGTGAGCCAGACTCCTCCTGGTTTTAAGCACCACACACAAACCTTCCCCGTTGAATGACAGCAAACCTATGTTGCCAGCTGCGCCCATCGACTGCCACATGAGGAAGGACTAAACCTGGCCAGAGGAGCTTCTGATCAAGAAATCAGATTTTCTAGGGTCTGGAAGCATCAGTATGTTGGATCAGATTCATCTGCTGGCTGCCGTGACAGTCCTGGGAGTCCTGGAGCAAGGTAGGGACCATCGGCTGCACATGCCCCAGTACTTGCTGGGTCAGCCTATTGCACCTCCGCCGATTTCCTTTCACTTCCATATTTCTTTTCTGCTGTGGCATTGGCACTTCCAGGTTTTCAGACAGGGGACTGATACCTTGTCTGGGTTTTGAAATGGATTCGATGGAATAAGTGCCTGGGAAACCCTTTCTCTGAACTGACCGACCTCCTCAGTTCAGAAATGACTTGGTAGAGCTTCTCTGCAAACATGTACAATTTCTTTCTTTGAAAAATGAATTTACAGCTGTTCCTGAGGTTGGTGTAGGTATTAGCAGACCAAAAGCACTGCAGTGTGGCAAGGTGCACGAACGGGTCGCGGTGGGTCTGATGGAACATGTCCCAGCCGTGGTTCCACGCTGCCGGACAGTTTAACTCGGCGTCTGGGTGGCTTACCTGTGGCATCATCCCTACTCAGCTACCAGGATTTAGAAGGGGAAAAAATGAAAGATTAAAAAACCCCTTAAAATTGGCCATAACAAAGTGCATCTGAACTGTGTAACAATTTCTATAGATAATTGGTGACCTGTTAATGAGGCAAGGGAGAGGGCAGGTGTCAGCTGGTGGTGTGTGACTGCATACTCCTCGCATCACTGTTGCTCTGGGTCATTCCTTTTCCTTTCCTAAAACATGTCTGGGATTTTCATCCAGCTTTCTCTGCTCTGGGGGGGTGCAAGGTTAGGAGGAGATGGCAGAACTTTTGCCCTGACCTCTGCAGCCTCCTGGCCCCACCGTGCCCAGCCCGAGGACTGACCACTGCTACTTTTCTCTCTTCTTGCTGCAGCCTACTTCTTCCTCCAGGTGATCTACGCCAGGCGGTTGTTTGGCATTTCTCCTCCAAAGACTTCAGGTCCACCTGAATTTGAGAGGATCTTTCGAGCACAGTAAGAAACTCCTCTTCCCAGACGCTTTCCAGATCTCGTGTCTGCTGGCACTGCCCATCCCCTGCTTTGCCATTCACTTCTCGGGACTGTAGTTGAGCAGTTACTCACCTTCCTCGGGGTTAAATTAATGGGCTTAGGAGTTGGCATCGAGGCTGTGCTGGTTTGTGAGTCCTGAACACACCAACCATTGCTGATAGAAACCAGACAGAAATCTCTGCTGTAGAGTGTAGGGCTGCTAAAGACAAAATTGTAGGTGCTTGAGCCTGAGGCTGGTTTTAGCCAAGCCCCAGGCAACTTCGGCCCTGCTCTGAACCCCACTTGCTGGGAAGGACACGCTCCCAGAAAGACCTCAGCTGTGGCTGGTACGGGGATAGCCGCAATTCAGCATCTCTGCCGTGACTTCTGTGCTATAGGGCTGCAGTGGGGAGGGAAGCAGAGAGGGAGGAAGTGTCCACTTTTGCTTTAGCTGAGCACTGGAAAAAACAAGCAACTGGGCAGCAGGAGCAGGATCCCCTCAGCCACCCCCTTCTCTGCTCCCTGCTAGCCTAGACAGCCTCATCCACCATCTCTTGGGCCTACTACTTTGTCTTTTGGGGGACAGGGCATGGTATACAGCTAAGTGCTCCCTCCCACTCCTGCACGAAGCCTGGGCTGCTCTGGGCTTATCTGCTTAAGATGCATTTCATCCCCAGCGAGTCTGCAGCTGGCTGGGGCAGATCGTCCTTGCGGATCTGGGGCTTTTGCAGCAGCGTTTAGGCTGTGGCACTCAGGAAGGGGCAGTGGGGGTAGTTCACGGAGCCTTTCTGTGCACAGTCTGACCTGGGCATCTTTTACTTAAATTTCTTGTGCCGTGGTGGAGACCCCGTTCCATCCACTGTTTAATTCCTGTGAATAAAGGTGGGAAGGGATCTGTGGGAAAGGTGCAAACCTGGAGGCTTTTTATGGCAACATCAGCTCTAAAAAGCAACAGCCTCCAGCTTCTGGAAACTGCTGGGGGAAGCAAAAGAGGATCTTCCTCCTTCCCCTTGTTTATGACCTTCCTCTTTCCTGCCAGGGTGAACTCCTCTGAGTATTTTCCCATTTTTCTGGCACTTCTGTGGCAGGCTGGACTCTTCTTCCATCAAGGTGAGAGTAGCCCGTTACCTGGTTTGTCACTGGATCTGTTCCCCCGAGTGCTGGCTCAGTCCTCAGGTCCTGCTCACCTTCTGAACCATAAATTAGGCAGCAATTCTGCCTCTGATGGGAGAGTAGAGCCAGAGGACACAAAGCCTCTATTCCTTCACTCTGGGCTACCTGCTTGGCTCAAAGTATCTCTGAAAAGCCCTTGGAGATGGTCACTGTGATCTCTCTCAACTGCAGGTCTGGCTGCAGCCTTGGGGCTGCTCTATCTCTATGCCCGCTACTGCTACTTCATGGGATACCGGGCATCGTCCTCGGAAAGGTAAACACCTCTGCCAGCCTGGAGTACCCGCTAACCCCGGGGATTGCATTTGGGAAAATAACATGTTTTGGGGAAGCTCAGGACTCCCTCTGGCTGCTTGGGGTCCCTGCATGACCCAGCCTTGCCCAGCTCTCCCTGGGGATAACGTGGGCATGGGGACAGGGCTGGGGATAGAGGCACAGGCACGGGGCAAGGCTGGAGCTGCCCCAAGCCTTTGTGAGGGGGGTGGGTGTGCTCCCTTGGGTGGGAGCAGTGCACAGGACCCCACGCAGGGCACAGCCAGGGGCTGCCTTTCCACCCTGCTCTGCAGAGAGGAAGGGACCATTCCCGGGTGAGAGCAGCGATCCCCGGTCTCAACAGGCTCCCTCTTTCCTGCCAGGCTCGCTCCGATATACTTCGGCACCGGCGTTCTCTGGATTCTCATTGCAGCATCAGCCCTGGGCATCTTGCATTTCTTCCTCTCTCACTACATGGGGCTGAATGTCTTCCAGCTTCTCACAGCGTGACCCACTCCCCTGTCCCTCCTCAGTGTCCTGACTTCAGTCCTGCTCCCTCCTGCCCACGGTAACAGACTGGCTGTACCTTGTACAGCCCCAAGCGACAAATCCACCCTCACCCGAGTTTTTAACACCTCCCTCCCTGCTGCCCGAACTGCTGAGCTCTTCAGGAGGTGTTTTTCCCCCGTGGCACTCTTTGTGCAAAGTGCTCCATGTCTGGCAGCTCCGTCATGCCCGATGCAGGAAAAACACCGCTCCAAAACAAGGAGAATTTTAGGAAAATCAGACACACAAACGCAAACTCATCTCAGCCTGAGCTTCCCCATGAGCTGCCCCAGGGAATCACCCCTTCTTCCAGCCGCTCTGCCTTCAGCCCCCGCACCCAACGCGGGTTCATGCTGGTTTTCCAAGGCCCACACCTAAGAAAGGCATTTGTTTGAAACCAGACGTGGGCTGAGGCATAACAAAAGAGGTGAGCGCTAAACGCAGCAGCCACCAGCATGTGCAGAAGTCTCTCAGCGCCCTCATCGTGGTTATTAGCCTGTGGGCGATCCTGTAAATTGGACTGCGCAGACTCATAACGTACAGCTTTGAATGCTGCTGCGTGACGACGTGCGCAAATAAAGACACTGAGCGTGCTGGGCTGGGGGTCTCCTTGTAGCTCTGCCATTGGCGGAGAACAAACCCACGAGGGTCCGAGCGCAAGGCAGCTGCCTCAGTTTCCCCGCCATGCAGTGCAACGCAGCCTGCGACCCCGTGAGAGGGAAGCACTGCGCCCGCAGAAGCTGGTTGTCAGAGGAGCCAAACTCCCGGACGGGGGGCTGAGCCGCTCAGCACCAAGCAGTGGTCCCCGCTGGGTGGTTTGGCTGGTGCTCAGGTCCTGCCCCGTGCTTGGCCCTGCGGCAGGAAGAGCTGGATTTTTGCTGGAGCTCAGTGCTGACCACGCTGACGCTTTCGGCCATGGGTCCACTCCTGTCGGTAGCGCAGCTCGGACAACAGCAGCTCCGTGCCACTCGCACGGGGGGACTTGAGGCCAAACCCGGAGAGCAAAACCACCTGCATTAACATGCTGCCCATCTAAAAGCCTTAAAGCCCACCGTCTTCCCCTCCCTCCCCCAGCAGTTTACGTATCTAGACTGTAAGAACAGAAGGCAGGGGTTTTTTTTGGAAGAAGTGATTAATTTTTCACATTGTTTCATTTCCTTCCCTGCATTTTCAATTGGCTTACCCAGCAAAGTCCCCAGTCTGTTTCCCTTTGGGGCTCTCCTGCCCTGGAGTCGTGCTGCCGTGTTGAATTTGGCAAACACCGAAGGGGAACACTTAAATCCAAACGAAAATAACTGTGCAGCACTTACCTCGGCAAAGTTTCCAGTGTAGCGGGGCCCTGTCCTCACAGGAATTCCTGGGTGTCACCGCAACATCAACAACAAAACAGATTTTTTTTTTCTAGAAGCTTTGGTACTGCACATCGGAAAAGGCTGAGCGGCATTTAACCCTGGCTGTGCCTTAGCAAGGCCACGGCGGGACACACGTGCCACCCGCCCCCAGTGAGGTTTGACTTGGCCTTTATGTCCCACCGTCTCGGGAGGTTAATCCTCAGTCCTCACCTTCGTACCAGCATAACCAGTCACCTCCCAGCAGGTTAATGCAGAAGGACCAGCCCCAGCTGCTGGTGCAGATCCTGGCTCGGTGTCAAAACCCCGGTCTCGGGTTAGCCCAAGCTGGCGCTCACCGGTTCTGCAGGCACAGCCGCCACCTTTTACCCTGCAAACAGTTTCCTAACCGCCCCGTATCGGCCTTGAGC